AATAGTGCATAGCATAAGGTTTATATATATATATATATATATATAAATACATTGGTAATTGTGACATTTCTGGACTAATAACATCACATTGTTGGTTAATTACATATAAATCTGAAATACGGTTTTTTGTGGGTTTTTTTTTAAAATTTTAAGAATACACAATTTACTAGAACCGAAATTTCGTTTATGTGAAGTGTGTTAATGGTCTGAATACAGAAACTCTATTTTCTGTCAACAGTAATCAGTTTCACTGAACAAACTATTTACGTATAGCAGAGCATTAAACGCATTAGTCAGGATGACATAAACAGGTAAAGTTTTGGTGAAGTGACTTCTTTATGATTAGATAACTAAGTTTTTTAATCAATCCATGTGGCTGATTTTCAATAAAGCTTATTAAGTATTATTCGGAAAAACCTGATTATCTGAAAAATAGGAGCTTTGTCAAAACTGGTTGAATGGTTATGTTCTTGTTGAATCATGTGAGTAAATGATGAAATGCATTATCTTAATGAATTACAAGTTTAACTTTAGAAAACAAGCACCAACACGTATAACACACAAAATCGATAAACATGGTTTTGTTTGCGAATTAAAAGAGGTAGATACTGTTTTTGAACTTAAGAAGGTCACAAATTTCTACCGAACACTTTGTTATTACTGCTATTCAGTCTAACATTAAGTGAGGTCGTGTAACACAACAGTAAAGTACAGCTAACCTTCTGTTACATTACAAGTTGAAGAAATCCCAGCTATTCTTAGATTAAATACAAAGTTTCTTTGTTGATTTTCAAACTTACTTTCAAAGTTTCACGCCAGGGACTGCATGTAAACCCTTTTCCCTATAATTTCACTCATATAAAAAAAAAAAATCGTTCCGCCTGAAATGCTCAAACGGTCAAAACCAAAGATGTCAGATACATTGTAACTATTTATTGCATCTTCCCAAAGGTCGTGCTAGGAAAAATTAGTTTGTTACAAAGTAAACATAGAAGGCGGGGGGTCAACGTGGGCAGGACATAATAAATTCCTCCATGTAGAGATTTGCATGCCCATTTTCTTTTACCATTAGAACATAGTCATGCTTATATCATTCATCAATGCTATTAATCTGAATTTTTTTAAAGTATGAATTATTTTTTTAATGTTCATAAGTTAGGTTAAAGTTTTGATTTTTCCCCATCCTGGTTGACTGGTCATACAAGGACTGATGATATGATAAGAGTCACCTGATAATTAAAGAAAGCAGTGAACTATACAGAGCGGTGACTACAATTTACATCTAAACAATGTTGGTCATACAACACACAACATATTAAAAAGATAGACACAGACATTTAGTGCACTTTTAACCCTGAACCTGAATTCTCTAATAACGCTATACACAGCGTGGCCACAAGTAAATAGACATCACCTTTTCAGAAAAAATGAAAGTTTTCAGTCATATTCACATGAATTGATGTAATTATAATTTAATTAATATCTAATAGATCTTTCTCTCGCTTTGTGGAGTTCGTTGATTCTTTGGGGCATCGTGAGAATCATCTCGCCAATTTTATATTGTGGGATTTTCGCCCACTCTTGCTTCAAAACTTGGAGTAGATCGCTCTTCGAAGTTGGTTTTTGGTTGTTTCTTGACTTGTCTGTCGATATGGCCCAGTAGG